ACTTTCTACGAAAAAAAGGGGACTCGCAAGATCGCGACCTATGACGCTATCTCCACAAATCACAAGGTCTGAGGCGGTGGTCCTGTCGTTTAGGTTTTCCATTCATTTATGAAGTGATTAACAGGAACGTGAATTCCCAGCAGAACTCAAAGCGAGCTCTAGAACAAGCTATTACACATTTAGATCGAAAGTTTGGCTTGTGAGAGTGATACCTTGTCGGCGTATTTTACACAGTTTTGTTTTCTACATTCTCTTCTGATGTAATCAGCATTTGAAAATATAGTTCATTTTTGGAATTTTTTCTACCGTTAATGTAACTATTTGTTTTCAGTTCTTCAAGCTGTGGTCATCAGGCAGCGCAAGTCGTTCAGACGAAAGGATGGTACATTCATCTATTTTGAAGATAACGCAGGAGTGATTGTGAATAACAAAGGAGAAATGAAGGGCTCGGCCATCACAGGACCTGTTGCTAAGGAATGCGCGGATCTCTGGCCTAGGATCGCTGCAAATGCTGGTTCTATTGCTTAAATTTATGTTGTTATCGGTTATCCGAATAAAATTTTTCTTGTTTTCATGCATCTCACTTGCTGTTTATTAATTGCATAATTCTAAGAACAGTTTCAATAATTGATGTGGTAAAAGGTCTACCACTATTAATACAGATCCATAGCACGAGAATTGTTAGTGCCCACCTGGGTGGAGCGTCACGTTAGACCGAATTCAAAAATTCCACGACCTTCCCCTCTTTGGAGTGTCTCGATACGACCCTCCCCACATTTCTCGTGAATATACTAGCAGAACGTGAGCTCCTGTAGTTTGGTTATAAGCATAAAATCGTAGAATAAACTGCCTTTATTAGTTGCTGAACAGAATTGCACTTTGAATGGCGCTTTGCGCAGGAAGGATAGTAAGCTTTCGTTAATATCAAAATCACCAAAAAATTTTCATTTAGATACACAAGCACATATCAAAATGGAAATATTCACTTGGAGGATGCCGGTTTCAGAAAACTGCTGAAAGAATTGTGC